TTAGCAAAACAGATAGAAGTCCAGATTTTTGGCCTTCGAAACCTAATCCAAGGAACTGTCCAATTTCTAAGTATATTGTTGAATCTGGAATGTGCATCGTAAATATAGAACAGTCTACCTGTGACCGTTCCATTGATAAAGATAATGGAAATCGATAGAGAATGTTAAATTTGTTTTCTTCATTTGATGACCATAGATATTAGCTAAGCGAAAATAATAATAAAGAATCGGTAAAATAACTATCGAAAAGTGCAATTGATATTTACCAGAATCATTAGCGAACAGTTTTTTCTTTAAAATATAAATAAAAACTAAGAGATAGTTAAAAAAGGGGGGAAATTTTGATCTGAAGACGAAACGTGTTCAAAACATGAATGCTGTCTTCAACCTTTGCGCTTCATTCCATAAAGACAAAAGTTTCATCCGTGTATCACAACCATAAGCATACACCAGCCTGTTTTAGTTTATAATATAACTTATAATATTTTAGTTTATAGAAACTTACAGAAATTTATTGAAATTTATTTATAGAAATTTGTTAAAACACGAGCACTACAGAGACCAAAACGATTTAAAAAATGCATATTTTCTCGAGGAACTAATTGTTCATGGGTTTTCGAGTATTCTGATTCCAAATCTAATAACAGAAAATGCTTTCAGAACATTCCAGAAGGTTCTGGAAAACCCTTTTCTTCGGAAAATATATTGAAATCGGTATGTGAAATAACCTATAAAAGGAGGTTATCTTTCCTAGGGATGAATCAAGAACTCTTGGTGCTGCACTCTTCAGAACAAGGGGCCTGTGTTTATTGGAACATAGAAAACATTTGTCCCGATCACGTTGTTCATACGTTGAATAATAACACCAAGCGCTCACAATCAAAATTGAATGGTACTTGTCCAACAGGAACTTATCGAGATAATTGGAGCAGTAATTACGTACTATTCTCAACAATAAAAAAATAAAAAATTGATAACAAGAAACAAAAGTTGTATCTAACAACTCAGAGTATTAAACCACTGTGCAAACTGTTGGATTTTGCTTCTTTTGTGATGGTGTATTTTGTTCCCTATTCGCATCATCTTTTTTTCCATTTAAACCAAATGATGTTTTGCTTTTCTGCGCTGGTAGAATTAAATGAGTTGAAAGCAGAGGTGACGATACTAAAGTGACGATGATATTCTTGATTCTGTCAGATTTTGATTTTCATGTATTTGTTCACCTTGTACATGGCGCCTATAATCAAATCTGTGTACTGCTGACTGATTCTCTTTCACATAATTATTATCATTAGCGTCATCCAATGACGAATCAGCCTCTGAGTAGAAGTTTTCAGATTTACTACTATAATCTTCTTCCTGACCACTTTCTTCAATTGCTCTGTCAGCTTCATCTCCAGATAATAAACTAACACGATCAGTTTGCGTACTGATATGAAGAACATATTCACTCTGGAATATCAGTGGATTCTGCTCCAGCATTTGTCGATTGGGGTATAAAGTCTGCCTCTGTGTAGTAGTTCTCAGATTCACTACTATTATCTTCTTCGTCTGCTAATGTTGTTTTATCAATATGAACGACCGGCGAAGGATAGGTAGGTAAATTATCGAATGGGGATTCCAATAGAGGATATTTTTTATTTGACTTCTTTTAGATGTATAATGTGCAGGCCAGGTGCCGGATTCAGTTTACTTTTTACTTGAAATTGTGTAGGTGGTAGAAGAAGTATTTCAGCTTCTGTTTCATAATGTGAATATTTTTGAATAATTTCACCATTTTCACATTGGATATTAAATAATGTTCTTGTACCCGTTTTGCCCAAGGATTGTTCTGATTCCAGTACTTTCAATGATTCTGTACATGAACTAAAAGCATACCATGTACAAATTTGTCCTTCTACATATTCTTGACTTAAATCTAACTTAATACCTCTATATAGCACATCAAAAACAGATGGCAGTTTGAACAATACTGTAAGAATCAGTTTTAAATATAAAAACCATGGTTTCAACTGACGACGATCTTTTGGACGGAGTGTACGATTTAGAACCGTATATGAGCATTCATTCCATTCCATCGTATATAAATGAATAGCCGCTTGTTCATCATGTGTAAGACTATCGGATGATAGTTGTTGACTTGAATTATGTTTAGCAAAATAAACCCATCGTTCAAGCTCTGGAACCAAATGTTCTATTGGTTTCACGGCCTCTTCCAAAGATACTAACGGGTGATTTCCATACCCTTCTATTGGTGACAATAATTGTATGGGTTCATTTTTCAAATCTAATAAACGTTTAGTTGTACAATCACCAAGATCGTCATCATGCATGTATTTTTTTGCAATGTTTAGACCTTTTTTTTAAAGGAGCTGAAGAGGTTTATGTTTATTTCTGTACTACAGTTACATATACCTTAGTTTTTAACAGTAAGAAATCTTACGAGGGAACCCCACGAAGTGATTAAACGCTTTTTGCTCGGAATCTAGTGGGTTACAGGTTATCGACCATGCTGATTACGAATACGATCATGCGGCTTCCGCATAGCCCTTCGAAGACCTGGTTTTCTAGAAAACGAGTTTTTCAGAAACCCCAAAAAATAACCCGAACCGTTCTTAATGAGGCATGATTGTAGCCCGCACATTTC